AACTATAAGGCCTACTTTGGAGTTTAAAGTAGAGAAGATGTAACGTGTTGTTTGATTCAACTTCTAGTGTAAATTTTGCTGAAGGATGGCTGTTGCTGAACTTTCAAAAGAGATGTGTCATGTACAAGTTGTCATTTTAAAAAATGAATATATCGTCCATATATCTTTTACATCCATGAAGTTGGTCTGTTATTAGGAGTAATGTACTGTTCGCAAGGTTAGCCATGAAGCGATCGGTAGGTGGAGGTGATCCCATTGTTGCACTATTTATCTGGAAATATCTTTATCAAATCTGAAGTGGATGTTGAACTTTTGTAAAACGGAAACGGTGAGATTTGCACAATACAAAGAATTTAAAGCATGCAATCCTTTGCTATTTGAAGCCAATTTCATCATGTTAAGTCAGCGTTATCAAAAGAAACTCACTGAAGAATCACCAACTATATACTGCTCTATCTCAAACACAAGAGTCAGCAACTTGCAGATTTTGTGTTCCAAATCAACTGCCAAGCATAATACCTGATTGGCATGAAATTAAACTGAAGTTCGTATGAAATCAGCAGTATGGTATCATGCCTTCACGGTAGTTGACTTCTTTCCAAGATCCTATTATTTAAAATGACCATAGGAATTATGGTGTCTTGAAACTTAAGTTATACTACTTCTATTCTGATGAATTCTATTATCTGAATTTGATAGACAAATAGATAGATAGGCAAGAAGAGATAGATAAACATGAAGGGTCTGAGACCTCGCATCGTTATGTAGCAACACAAATTACTGCATCTCACATCAACACCGCAAAGATGAAGTCAAGAACTATAAGATCAGAAATTTTAAAATTCATAAATCTACTAGAAACCTGGGTGAAATTAGCATAGTTACATCATGAGACGATTTAAGTTATCATAAAGTATGAACGCGACAGTGCTACCGAGATCGATTCTAAGGCATGTCTGCAACAGTCTTTGGTTGTCTGTTTTAGTTACCTCGGGGAAAATCAGCATTGTCGTATAAGGTTTGGACCAACTGTCTGAGACTCCATGGATAGATATTACATCTTAATCTGTCTACATTTAGCAACCTAATAACCTAGCACTACTTCAGAGGGCAGATTAAGTCTTAGAAGGTGCTGATCCATTGTGCATAAAATGTCTTAAACATCCAAGGCGACTGTTATTCATAACCCTATCAGCTGATTTATTGGTTGTAATAAAGACTTCGTCGTGTAACAACCAGCTGTTGTTACGATTTTCATCCAATCTGTAGGTACCTTCGTCATCATCATCAGCATCACGATGGGACCAAGCAGTACTTAATAGTGGTCCAAACTATCAAAACTCATATTACCACATCAAGCAACAAAGTATAAGATGAAAGAAAAAGAAGTAGACGAGAACCAGACAAAGGCAATAGAAAATAGTAGAGGAGTAAAAGGGGGAAAAAAATACTGAATTCCGTATGAGGATTATGATGAGGATAATGTGTGGATACATCTGTGCTACTGGAACCGATTCTGAGCCATATCACCTAGATTCTCTGACCACTGGTTTTTGTTATCACGCAAACCCCAACCAAGAAGTCTACATTTCCCTTCATATCTCAAACCAACAGTCGAAGACTTCACGTAATGACGCTATGTTTTAGTCTGATCACCCCTTACCTTTTTCAGATGGACTTATTTCAGATAGAAATTTTCAGTGAGGCAGGCGATAACTAGGCATGTATAGCACATGTCGCAGCCACCGGAGTCGATGAAGTTTCATGATATTATCAGTTGACTTTCCTCCAAACCCTAAAAACTTTGCACCTGACTTCTGTATTACTGACTTAGTGACACTAGGAAATACGGCCTATGCAAAGAAGGTAAAGGTAGTTGAACACTAGAAGCCTTCTTTAGCCCTCCATCGTTAATGATCATGTTTCACAGAGATACAATAAAAAAGTAAGACTTACAGCGTAGTACACTCGACTCTTAATAGACAACCGGATATTACGGATGCACCATGAACAGCGTAGTTTATGGTTGGCTAATCAAGCTTTTCGGATCCCTGTATGCATTTACTCGGTCACTCACCTACCCACAAGAGTCGATCCAACCCCGCAGGTAAGTAAAATAGGTAAGTCAAGGCACTCAGCCGCTTCACTCCCTATTTTCAGACAGGGCATCGTTAAAGGCCACTTCTGGAGCAACAACATGCATTGAGATGGCAAGAAACGCATCCCATACATTTTAAAATTGCCAATCAAGGTGTCCCTGTATCTTGTCAGTGTTTTTACGTAACAAGATTGTCATTGGAATACTTTATATCTACCAAGAACATTCGTATGATACAAGCGATACCTGTGAAGTCAGTCAATGAGAGGGAGACCTCTATCAGTATATTTGTGATAAAGTTTAGTAGGAATGGAGAGCATGAACATCGGTGATGGAAACCACTCGACATACACAACTCATCCAACTACAAATCACAGGCCCTAACATGCCAACCGGTTTCCAAGTAAACAGCCTTCAACAGAGTTGTCTGAGCATCTTCAGCACACTTTTAGGGACAAACACTACCATAAGACCTCTTTAAAGACGGAGTCGAATGCAGCATTAAGGTCGAGAACTGCAACCAGCGTCGGTAAGTAAGCCTGTGTTCCAGAACCTGGTGGAGTGTGAATGAATGGTCGATACATCCAAAACCATGTCTGAAGCCTGTCTGCTTTTCTCAGGTTCACTATTCCTGAGCTCCACTCGGATGTCTATCGATTATAGAACCAAGAATCTCACTATGTTGGTAAGTTTGCTTCCCCTTTGAACATCACAAGAGCATTTCTTGCCTTTCGTAAAGAATGGGACAATCAGTGGTCGTAACCAGTTAGGAGTGATAATATCTGACTCCCACTCACTAGTTAATACTGACAAGTAGTCCTTTACCACTTTCCTTAAATACCTCCATTACTAGTCAGTCTGGCCCTGCTGTTGTTCCTCCTTAATTAGTTTTGTCGACTCCCATAAGTGTTGGGGTCCCATCTCGATGTTCCCGAAGCTTCTAATATGTACGAAAGACGTCCATTATCGGTTTGACAATATCTTACGTCACCAAGTTGATAGAGTAGCAATGGACAGTCAGCTAGGCCCTATATTGATAGATACTTTCATAAGCAATTTTGAGCTGGCAAAACTCAAATATGCAACTGACGGCACCAAATCCTACTACGGATACGTTCATTGTGTGTAAGAATTTATACTGTGCATCACATCTTGGAATCTTCGATAGTATACATAAAAACACTAACTTCACAAATTAACAAGAAAAGAGTGGTGAGTTCGACTTTCTGGACATCAGCATTCAAAGTAGAATTGATGGTACACTTCAAGGACCTATCCATTGTAAAGGCACATGGAACAGATTTTAATTTCAACCACTGCTATCCAGTCAACCAGTCAACACTGGTTAGAACTCTGTTTTGTAGAGGATGAAGTATTTCCTCACTGGATTAACCTGAAGAGGAATTATTGCTTCTCGAGAAGTATCCTAAAAAAAACGGATACCCACAGAGCTTCATCAGCAAACAAAGTAGAAGAAAATGTAGTAAGACTAAGAAAAGAAGCCGGTATTCATTCACCCCGACTTCAAAGGTGAGGATATGATGATGATGGTAAACTGATCACCCACTGCACTAGAAAGGACGTATCCTGAAGCAAAGTTTGTTCCCCTGTTTCCTACATATTACTCGCTGGTACGAAAAAAATCGACACGTACCCCTTGTATGTTATCTCTGATTGTGTGCATCAATTGACATGCATCCGGCAGAGCAGTTACATTGGGATAACAGAAAGAAGGGCTTACCCTCGACATTTTGAACATATCCAGAAAAACCTACGCTTAAGAGGAGCAAGAATCCTCAATAGTGCAGTTACTAAGCACCTATTGGATACAAGAAATCAAGTACATGCTTTGAAGTCGTTCAAAGTAATTAACAAAAGAAATAATTCAAATATTCTTCGATTCACTGAAGCTATTGCAATCAAACGTCTGAAAACAGATTTTTATAGGTCCAGAAGGAATCTACCGTCAACTGCCAACTGTCCTGGTAGCCTTGTTTCTTAACCTCCCACTTATTTGGTTACTTCACTATCCTGTCATTAGATTTTCAGTTAACTCTAAGCCCCAATCTTAATAAACTGAGTTCCACTCATTACATTTCGTTTTTGGTTACTGCTAACTTGTCTACTCATCGACCTAGGCAATTTGTTGTTCTATATCACACAGTAGTGGTTGTTTTATATTTTTTCTGCCCCCATCTGATTTTTACGAGAACTTTTGTTGTAATAAGATATACATTTATTACATGGTTACACGACATTTTGACTTTATTTCAAGTCGGATAGTTACCTCACTCTATGTCGTTGTCCAGTTCGATTGGTTTCACTGGACTAAAGTGTTAATATTTTATTGTAAGTGTTATTGTAAATATTCCACGTTGTAAGCGTCTAATGAAAACCAATGAAATAATAAAATGGATCCATAGTATTCTGCTACAATATCTATTCTTTCTCTTTTAAACAATCATTCGTAATGCATCACCTACTAGCTGTGTTGTGTCAATGTCTGAGATACTCAACTTTCTAGTAACCAGTTTCCATTTCAAACCCAACTCCACTTATTTCGGCTCGCGCAGCTCTTGCACATTAAGTGTGGATGTTATTCTAGTATTTAAACTCGTACCAAAATCCTAAGCCGCTTTATTGTTTGCCATTAGCTACCAGCTAACTAGTTATGGGCATCACTTGCTCTGAACAAACGGTAAATTATAACCCATATCCTAAATCCACACACATATATGTACAAGTCTTTGTATAATAGGAAAAAACCTTTATATTTCGAATTTTTAAAAAGACAAATTAAAAGAAAAGGCGAATCAAAGTCATAAAAAGTAAGAAATTAAGTCAATCAGAATAGAAAAAGTAGCAATAACAATACGAAAATCACAACCATAAGACCATGTTTTCACTGTATAAACATAATCCCAGCCGGACGACCAGCTTGACTAACAAATATAAGATTATTGTCACTATGTCCATCACCGGTAGTAGCGTAGAATTTCGAGCGAACTTTTGCCATAAAACTACACGCAGCAGATTTTGCCACCAGTGACACAGTACAACCACCCCAACCAGCACCTGTTAAGCGGCTACCGAAAGCACCAGCTGATCTGTAAGATAAACGAACAATTGTTTACTTATGCGTAACTTATGAAAAAGTAAATGTAATATGATGTTTATTTAGTATTCTCTGAGCTTTGATATTTTACAGTGAACGTTTTATCACCGAACTTGATGATATCATCAGCACTGACTTCATAAAGAAGTGAGACATAGTTGCGGGATATTTAGGGACTATTTGTGCTGATTTCAAGAGTTATTCAATCGTAAGTTGGCGAAAAAAAAAACTAACATAAGTATATTTTCATCGCTCAAATATGCTTTAAAATAGAAGAAAAGAAACTGAAAGTTGATTTGCAGAAGGCTTAAGTCTAACGAACTCACCTGCAAATATCTATCAATTTGTCTAATTCAGGACAAGAACAGTCATAACGGCTAGCACATGAAAACTGACTCTCGTTCATTAAATCACCTAACAATTTCATATAATCAATACAATTGACTTTTACACTATTTCCAAACTGAGAGATCTTTTTATTCATTATTGTTCTTTTGCATATATCATAGAACTTGTAAACACGATCTGCCTCAGAAAATACATGTTCTGCACGATCGCGCAGATAGAATTTGTTCACTAAATGAATAAGAAAGAAATAAACAAAAAAGATGAAACCAATAACTGATATTTGGATAGTAATAGACCGATTTTTATTCAATTTTACTCAGCTCAATAACTGATAGGGTCGTTACTGAACACAATTAAGTAATTCTAAAGAACCACCAAAAATATCATAAGTTTTTCACATTTCTTCAGTTGATTATAATCTGTAATGATTCGGTCAATTTACACAAATATCAAACCAGAAGAGAGTTACCACGCTGTTGAAAGACTGCAACAATTCAATATGGAAGAGAACAGTTCCTAGAGGTAGATAAAACTAGCAAATACTTTCATTTTACGACCAGGATGTCAATAAATTAGAACAAGGCGAGGAAGATTGGTCTCTGAAACGAGTTTTGTCAGGTTTACAGTTATTTACGTCAATAATCAAAGATGAATGTGTCTACAAGGTCGTTTGATATGCTCTTGGGGATAAGTTACCTAAAACAGGCTACGTGGTACCGAATTTCAGCTTTCGCATACAGATTGACACGATCAAAATGGCGGATTTATTAAACTTTAGAAAAATTGAAGTCGATGTTTCAAGAAATAATTTTACTACCCAAGAATTACTAATAGTAATAATGAATTAATAAGCGAAATTAAGATTAACCAGTTGTATCAAAAATCGCTCACTCATACCCACAGGTACACCGAATTTCGAACAATTGTTTAACCAGTTTATTTATCGTCATCACTACTCGAAGTTCAATTATAAAAAAGACATTCTGGATGACAAAAGAAATCATAGGTACATTTAACACAGAACACTACCACCACATATCGTCGTGGCACTTAGCCTAGTAAACATCATATATTGTGGTATAGTTAGAATCATATCAGCGCTAAATACCACATATGATCATTGTCAAAATTAACCCAGAACCAATTCCTTTACACAATACAGTCTAACAGATGGCTAAACAAAAGCGTAATACCTGGACACTAACATGTAGGGTTAAGCTGTACTTTCCTGTGGAGTGAAAAACTGTGTTCAAGGCTCTGATCAACTGCTTCCAAGAACGCAAAAACCATCATATCAGACTAATACTTCGGCATTTATGAAGGCTAAAAACCAACCGCTATGTTTTTCTAACCTACAACTTTTGAATATTTTGCCTCAAATCAATGATGAATAAATGGCACAATATCCTTCAGATATTTCTTTTCAAATATTATCCTTGATATCATATGAAATAATAATCACAGGTTTCAACATCTAAGAGGACAGAAAGCCTTCATCTATTACAGCCAGGAAAATTACATAACAGACAGATACTACAGAGGGAAAGTAAACAATAAACGAGATTATATGGTCATTTAGAAGACAAATAACTAGCAAACAACCATTAAAATGTACTTGTTTTGGTCTTCACTGTTAAACATGCGTCAATAGTAGCGTCAGTTAAACCAATATTGCACAGTTTATATCGAGTTGAAATACCGCTAGGCAGATATCTAGTTACAATTGATAATCCATCCGCCTGGATGCGTATCATTTCCTCTGGTGTAATTGCTTTCCATGCCTTTTGTGCATCACTAAGACAAAGCGGGATCACTGATGAAGAACTCGCATTGTCAGTTGAATATGGACTATTTTGGGCTAATATCTAGAGGATAAAGCAAAATAAAACACATTTAAGTAGTTCTTATTGTAATTTGAAATGAATATAAAATAAATCTATCAACAAACAAGTATTATTATGGTTCTCAAAGCCCACACCAATGAATGAAGATGAGTAAGATCATACAAACAGTTGCAAAACGCCATAAGCAGAAGAGAATAAATCAAGACTGATAGTTTTTGGATGAAAAGGGGAGTGAGAATATGTGAATACGAAGAATTGACTTTCCTCACGAAACGATACTACCCAAAGAATTGTACACAGATGCATAGACAAAGTTAACGTAAGACTTGGCATTACTGTCCAACGGTTCAATTTGCCACAGCTTACGTCAGCATATCAAGCGAAAATGCTCTGATATGAAAGATCGATAAAATAAAGAAACCAATTAAAAGCGGTAGAAATTCACCAAAAGGAGACCAAGGAAGATTAAAAGAATACTAAGATTAAGCTTTACGATTAAGATGAGGATGATAATGCATGGATATATCTGCATCATTCAGATCGATTTTGACTTATGCTACCCACTGGTTTCTGTTGTCATGTGTCTACATTTCCCCACACAGCTTAGAACAACAGTCAAACCTAGAAAAGAGCTGAAGGCAATGAATAACTAGACATATGCTCTACGGCAGTATGCTGTTCAACCTATTCCAAGATAATGCTTGTTGATAAGTGCGTTAAGCGGTGAATCAAAAAAGTGACCACTGGTGATATAAGTTGTTCATCTTTCTTTTTGTTATCACTCATTGATCCTTTCATATGTTAACCTTGTTTTCATTCTAATTTCACAGAGGACAAACGCAAATGCTGTCGAAAAGGAAACTGTAAACTTACTTTGTTGATAAAAAAATATATGCTTTAATGCCTAATGTTCAACTACATTCAACCATACTTTTTGCAACTACTAATGACACACCGACAGTTTTTAACACTACATGCCAAAGGTGAAAATAATTCGAATGTAATTAAAGTCTAACATTGCCACTTAAATGCCACATTGACTTGGTTAGCTGTAGGATGGGCCCAGACATCCACTTCAATCGCTATCATACAGCTATGCATCCAATGTCTCTGCAACAAGAGTCCTACTCACTGCTTACTGCAAGAGAGGTGCTTGCACAAAGGTGAAAGCAAGCGTTTAGAGCTCATCACCAAATCGATGGATATGGATGGTTCACTTGAAAGTGTTGCAAAACGTTGATTCCAAACCAACTGTGCACATATAACATACAAAACTACTTTCACGACCGTGAAAACGCATTGCCTGATTTTACTTTTCTGCTTTGCAAATCAGAGGATAAGAAAGTGGTGGCCTAATGTAAGCACCAGCTCTGACTTGATGTCTGAGTATTACATTCCGCATATAAATCACTGGAACAACAATCACAATGGAAACCTAAAAGCGCTAACGAAACCTTCCTGTGGGATATCAAATTCACTGCGTAACGAACCTTCTAATAAACTATTCAAAATACTGTGATTTTATTATTACTTCTGTTCATGATCTGTATTGTCTATTCTTTATCATTTTACACGTCTTCTCCATGTTTGTCGTCGTTTCACTTATCTGCTCGTTAGTAAATGAAATGCTAGTCCATCCGTAGTGACTTGAGTGGTTACACAATTGCTTTAAGCACTATGTCTTTCAGTACGATATCTGATCCAACTATTCTCAAGCTTCTTCACCTCAACTCGAAAAGTGTCCTCACCATAAGTTTATCCGAGGATCTTGTGGTATCGACAACTTGTCTTGCTACTGTCGACACTACATGGAATAGCAGAGTTAAAGCTGTACCCATCGATATATTGAAGGTCCTAAAAAATACCTCAGGTAGAGTGACGGCGTACAAACGCCTCCCTCCATTGTTTGAAACCAGAGCCCATCATTTCAAAAGTCAAAGCGTTATCAATCAGACCACTAAGTTTATGCGGTGCATATAGAATACGATAGGGATATTATCCACACTAATCAACAATGGGAAATCACAAGCTATAACTGGATACGCTTTTCATTAGGACTCATTAATAGGATCCACAATGAGTGATTGTAAAATCCTATAGACAATTTATAGTTTTTCATAAGAAGTGACTGTCCTGACTGTAGTTTAATGAGTGAAGCAATGTATGTGAAATCAGGAAATTAGGCATAAATCTATTGGAATACAAACACACCTAGTAGAAGAATTGCATAGGGATGCGGAGAGAAACTTGAATATCACGATCACTTTATCATCACATCAAGACCAATGACCATAACATCAAGATATTAGTACAGAGTCGATATAGCACAAAAAGACCGAACCAGTAGCAGAGAAAGTAACATACTCGACCATACGTTAAACTACTTTTCATCCTTTATCAACAGACTAGTAGAATAGGGAGATTATAGGAGATCATTGTAAACGTTGTCTTATGCACAATTAAGTTTTAACAATTTAGACTGAACTACTATGCAACAAATCAAACAAAACAGTATGGTTTCTACCATGCACGCCCACGTGTACACACACACACACACACAATGTTGCTATAATACTCCACGGCCTCATACTATTTTGAATAGGCGTCATTTATCAGTATTCTAATATTTTGATTTAAACTCAAGTCAAGGTGAACAAAACAAATTACAGGAGAGTAAAATGCACAGATGTTTGCTAGTTATGTCATACTGCTGCTGCTGCTACTACTGATACCACACTGAACAACGAAAATAGCCAGACGTTCGCCTGTCCTTGAAATGGGAACAGCCGAAACAACTACAATCATACCAGCTTATTTTCAAAATCAAAATAAACATGTAAACTGACGGGAAATCCAGAAAACAACAACCCTATTATATGATAAAAATCGTCACGTAATTCAGACTGTACAACAATTTATTGATGAATCATAAAGACAGATAATGATGCTGACAACATATGGACGGTTTATGTGGTTCATTAATTAGGAGGCGACTACTTTGTGTGCAGTGGGTGTGTGTATATCAGTTTGCGCTTAATAAACACACAAAGAAATCTAAACGAACCCGGGAATATACAGTTAAAATTTTAAAAATAAAAGTGAACATTTGAAGGGAAGGAAATACAAGTTTATCAATAGTTTGATGTAGCTTTCATCGCGCAGTGACATCAGTTGGCAAATTGTTAGAAATCCTGAAACTCAAGACGGCTTCTTTGAAATGAAATTTCTGAATGTACTAATGAGAAATTTTCGCCTGTGGGTCAATTATGTTGAGATGAAGAGGATTCTCACTAATAACAGTGGATGATGGTTACCATATAGCGCAAATCGACAGGAGTAGGAACTATTCGATTCCAGTCTGGTAGTTAAATGGTAACGCCAGACAGTTCCCGAGTCGAGCAGTCCCCATGGCAAATGGATATGTTCCTACGTTTCCAGTGCTTCTCCAACTAATGTCAATTCATGGTGGGAACTACTTTCAAGTCAGAAAATCTTTGTGACCAACCAACCTAACTTAGTATTAGTTATCCACTGAAAAAATATGTACTTGGTTAATACATACTGGAAAGACGTTTTGCAATTTCGACACACTATATACACATAAAACCACTTAACTACTAACGAACGAGAACTATCCAACTGCATCAGTTTTATGAGGGTGTACAAATTCATTAGTTAGCATGCTAAATAAA